ACGTACACTGCTTTAATAACGGTTGCATACTAGCATTGTTAAGAAGTTTAACCAGCTGTGGAACGACTCCTTAAAAACAACCTCTTCTGCTCACCGGCTGCTAAAAGCTAAAGTCAACTAGCCTAGCCACTTGCCTATTTCAACAATGATTGGTTGTTCAAAATGTATCTGGGAAAAAATCTGTTATCCTTCCTGGACGTGATGATAGTGACGATACTTTACTACTTTCCAATCATCCCCAGGACTCGGTTGACAGTAGCTTTTTTGTTGTTGTATGTAGTCATTGCAGAAGTGACTGAGTTTCATTGACTGAGTTTCATTGACTTGCTGTCCGGTAAACTCTAGCACCTGCACTTTGGTATCAAATATAAAAAGGATAACAGGTTAGTCATTTTACTTTTGATGCAGATAGATTAAGCGCACATTGACAATATTTGACATCTTGTGAGGACGCCACATGCTGCCGAAGAATTCCGAAACAAAAAAACCCAATCTCAAGAATTTTTGACCATTTTGTTTTCATTAACCAAATGCTAATATTCTCACTTGATTTGATGAAAATGTCAGGAGATATTCATGTAATCATCATATCATCGCAACGAATATAATCTTCATATATTAAAATCCCATTCAGACGGCCACAGGAATGAGGGTTTAACCTTAAGATTGGTTAAATCAACCTCAGCCTTTCTATCCAATATATCATCTTTTTTATTAGGGGATGGACATTTTAATTTATATAACAACTACCCAAATTACCCAGAAAGACCAAGAGAAGGAGAGAGGGAAAAGGTTGGTGGAAATCAAATGTGTGACGAAGGGATAAACTGCCTTTCCTGTTTATGTAATGTATTTCTGTTTGGATTTGCATCAACATTATCAAACTGTAGCAGCAGAGCAGTGATAACAGGAGGTTAACCTGTGATACAGCGTCGTATGAATGTCAGACACGAGCTAAACCGACATTCATTAGACCAGCGTCAAACATTATGTCTCCCGCATGACGTCATTGTCTGTGTAGAAAACATGTATTTCAACAGCGGAGTGACTCATAGGGCATTAACACAACTCCGCCATCAAGACTGTCTGTTCACTCTGTCTACAAACAGCACAATGTGCCCATATTACTCATTACACTGTTCAATAAAACAGCTAAAAAGGATATATTCACACAGGATAAAATCCCACTGTGTGTGTGAGATGTTTTTCAGGAAGACTTTGTGTAGGTACAAAAACAAATGTGACATCTTTTATCCTTCCTGAGCTGACAGCAAGGTCTGTTCGACCTTGCTGTCAGCTCATATTGGTATCAGATATGCGTTGTGTACCAGAATAGATTTAAATAGTCATCCCAAAGCATCAGACAGAAGCAGTGAAGCCCTGCAGAGCCAACAGAGCCACAGGCTGTTATCGGTGGTAAAACTGTAGTTTTCTCAATTCAAGTGAGAAAACAAGTGCCAGTGGGGAAGTGATCATTCTCAACAGGTCATCATAGTAAAGGGACACAATGGATAATATTCAGGATAAGAAGGATGAGTACTTACCACATAGGTCTGGGTTTGATTTCAGTCATTTTTGCATGTCTTCCCTTCTCTTTTCATTTCACGTCTTTTTCCAAGCCGTGACTATAAAATAAAGCAGAAAAACCCATTTGTCCAACAGTTCGATATCAAAAAAACAAAACGCCCAGTTGTCCGATGGCCCGTTGATCCAAAAATACACACACATGGCTGTCGTGAAAAAAAAAGTGTATACAGTATACCTTATAGCGGTACCGTTGTTTTTAGGCTATTCGTTTTATTTGGAGTTCTTGATATACATGAAGATTGACAAATTCCTCTTATGTGTAAACCTACTTGGTAATAGCCGATTCTGATTCTGATGTCAGTGTATACGGAGCTAAAGCCATAAGGCGAGTGGTGCGATACCATTTCCCCAATGGCCCATTATTACTAAACCCCAATGGTTAAAAACAGAAAAGCCCAATATCATCTGCCCAACTGTTCATTCTAGCGCGAACAAAACGCCCATTTGTCCGATGGCCCGTTGCTACAAAAATACACGTCCGTTTGAAGAAACAGCTTTAATACAGTATATGTTATTGTTGCGGGATGGTTCTGTTTCGGCTAAAAGTATTCTTTAAGGATATACACAAAGATTGATAAAACTTGATAATTTGATAATACTCACATGTCAGTTTAAGGAGATAAAGCCAAAAGGCTATAGAGTGCCGCAGTGACGCGTAGTAAGTATTTTACCGCTTCCGGTTCCTTCGACAAAAAAGCAATGCAATCTCTCCATAGGATTTTGAAAAATAGCTGGAATAAGTTCTGTGGTTGAGACACATTGAAGAGACGGATCACGTTTTGTTCTACGACATTAAATCCATCAGCAGTAACCCCGAACCCCACTACGTCGTGATTTCTGAAGATTTACGTGGTTTCTGGAAAAACAGGATGGTTGGTTTTCCAAGTTGGCTTGAATTAGGGACCTACAGAAGCTTGTCGGAAGGCCGTTTTACGTTCATTACAACCGAACACGT